ATTTGCTTCTAAATTTTTTGATAGGCAACAGATTGATGACTTCAAGTATTAATATAGTTGCTTATTTTTGTTTCCTTTTATTAAAGCTGGAAATATAAGCTTATAAGGTGGCAGCTCACTGAAGGGAATTCTGAGGCCATTTCCCTGAGTAGCTAAGTAAATAGGCTCAGCTTAAGATTTTTCAACTTTATGATGGTGTGGAAGTGATGCACATGTAGTAGAAACTATATTTTGAATTTTGATCTTTTCCTGAACTAATGATAAGCTCTTCTTTACTCTGTTGTAATGATGTGCAGCAACAGTGAGCTGCAGCTCCTCTTAGCCATGTATTTGCAGGGTTGTAAAAAATTGTTATTCCACTATGTTGTACTGTGTTGCTAAGCTGTGCTGTATTGGTAAGTTAAATATATTAAATACATTTGTAACTTGTGCTGTTTTTAATTTGTGATGAGTTTTTCAGGATACAATCCATCACAAGTCAAGGAGCACCTATATTCTGTAATCCAAAAATAGAATTGAGTTTCTAGAGAGATGCAGTGGTAGACCATTTATTTTATGTAATTTCTTTTATATAGCTTTTTATTGGGAGATAGATAACAGATAATTGAGCTTGTACCCATAAACTTGGAGACCTTTTGTGTAGGTGTCGTATGAAGTAGACAATATTGAGCTACTATGAGGAAAATAGAGGACTGTGACCAATGTTCTCTTCTACAGAGAAAACTATATCCCCACTTCTATGTCTGCAGGTAAAGTTTGAATTTGCCTAGTTTCGCCATTGTTGTATTTAGGGTTCTCTAGCGAAACAGAATCAGTAGTATACAATTATAAGAACGTAGCTTGTGAGTTATGAAAGTGGACAAAGTTGGCAAGATGGCCTAGATTTTGCAATGGTATATTTATAGTCTGAAGACTTGTAGGCTCAACATTTAGGAAGAGCCTATGTTTCAGTTCAAGTCTGAATGCAGGAAAAGCCAGTGTTTTAATTCATAGGACATGAGGCAGGCCTCTTTTTTTTTTTTTTTTTTTTTTWAATTCTACTCAGGCCTTCAACTGATGGGAGGAAGCAATGGCATTATAAAGGGCAGTCTGATTTACCCCTTCTACTATTTAAGCATTAATCTCACCCAAGAACCCTTATAGAAATGTTTGTCCAAATATCTGGGCTCTCCATAGCTCAGTCAAGTTGACACATAAAATTAACTGTGATTCATATTTGACATTGTCCAAGAGTTTCATACCATACAGATAAATGAGGTGGAGGTGTGTTGTGGGTTAAAGCATAGCATAACTTTATATTGTTCAAAGTAGTTACATTGTCTAAAAAGAAGAATTTTTATTTAGTGTTTTTTTGTAGTTTTGTAAAATTTTTTATTAGGAATCTATTGAATTTCTATATTTTGATCTATAGCTGGTTCCTAATCTCAGAATAAATGTTGATATAATTGAAAAATTAATATACATAATTTCAACATGTCCCCCCATAACTGATAGAATGAAGACTGTCAGTAATAATAACAACAACTAATGATGGAATGAATGTCTCCATAATATATTTGTTCCTTTAGCAAAACCTTGTAGTCAGTGTTAACATTTTGGTGTGGGGCTCCCTGAAAGCTCCTTTTTTCAAGCAGTGTATGTAAATGTACAACCTCTTTACCAACCATAGAATCWTCTTATATATTTAGCTATGCCAGTTTTTTTTCCTGTATATATTTTTTATATTTGGATATCCTTCATGTTAAAAAAATAGGTTGGTACATCCTACTTTCATGTGTATATCTAAAAAGAACAAATAAACAAGTTGGTAAAAATAATTTTTAGCACTTGAGCATTATCAACCAATTTTAAGGTAAGTAGAAAGTTTTGGGGCATTTATTTTAGGCTGTTGGGAATGTCCTTGGACTTTTACTTAATATGTTTTTAGGATAAATTCCTAGTAGAAGACTTTGTTTATGTTAAAGTTTAGTTACCCAATTTTGGATTGATCTTTAGAAACGTTGTACCAATTCATATGGCTACAAAAGTGTATAAACATTCTCCTCACTTTGATAACACCCATCTTTCAGATATTAATGTGGTAACTTAAAAAAATCCTAAAGCTGTATCATCTTKTCTACTTACCTCATTATTAGTGAGACTGAACATTTTTTTAAACTTTATTTTCCATTTATATGTCTAGTAGCCTATATATATCGGTTGCTGGGTATGTCCCTTGTGAGAAAAGACGTGGACTGGCTGTCTCTCCTCTTTTTTTACTGGTGCTGGGGATTGAACCCACAGCCTTGTGCATGTGAGGCAAGTACTGTACCAACTGAGTTATATCCCCAGCCCCTGGTTATCTCTTTTGAAAATGTTGTAGAGAGGACCATAAGTTGAAATATTACCTGATTGAAGTAAGCTTTTTAGTACAGATCATAGGCCCCATCCAGATCAGAGTTAGAAAAGATCTGGTGACAGACTACTTTCATTTGGTATTTTGTGGGAGTATTTACTCAGATAAATTTTCTCATTCTGAGAAAGGCCTAGAATCTACAAAGTGTAAAGTGGCTGTTCTGGAACATAAAGTGGGTGTAAATGTCTCTTCAGCCAATTTTGAGTTCTTATTTTAAATGTATGTAGTTTTTTGCTCATGTACTTCATAAGCCTATAAAACCCAAATTTAATTCATAAATTATATATGAATAAAACTTCAAGATAATATTTACATGGCATTTTTTATTAAAATATTACTGTCAGGAATGATATTATAGAAGTAGCACCAAGTATAGTTTTATTTTTAATTTGTGTATTTTGATTTTTTTTTTTTTTTGATACTGGGGATTGAACTCTGGCACTCCACTGAGCCACATCCCCAGCCCTGTTTTGTATTTTATTAGAGATGGGGTCTCATTGAGTTGCTTAATTGCTAAATTGCTGAGGCTGGATTTGAACTAAGGAACAGGAGCTTCAGCCTCTCGAGCCACTGGGATTACAGGTGTATGCCACTGTGCTTGGCTGTATTTTGATTTTAATATTAGAGGATGACTATTTCTAAAAGTGTGGTAAAAAATAGTGTAATTTTATGCACACGACATAGTCATTTTGTGATCCTTATATTTAAACTGTTAGAAGGCATTCTTTCTGTGCCGCTTTCTTTCTCTCTCTCTCTCTCTCTCTCTTTCTTTCTTTCTTTCTTTCTTTCTTTTGTGTTTGTGTGTGTGTGTGTGTGTGTGTGTGTGTGTGTGTGGTGTTGGTGATTGAACGCAGGGCCTTGGACTTGCAAGGCAAATACTCTACCAACTGAGCTATATCCCCAGCCCCTGCCAATTCCAATAGGATGTTTCTTGATAATTCTGTAAAACTTTTTCATTTCAAGTTAAAAGTGCTGAGTGATATCATTTGCTCTTTATGTACAGTTGAAAACATAAAACACAAATGGGAGCATTAAGATAGGTGATAACAGATCTGTTTTAAGGTAGCTATATAGATAAAGCAGTGTAGAAATTATGCCCAGATTATTATTCATTTTAAAGGTGGCTGTTCAAATAATGTATAATGTGTTTATTAGGATTTTTAAGGATTATCATTGAAATGAAAACCTAACATTCGTAAGAGAACTTGTTAAGTTCCTGGAGTAAATCTGTAGCTCCAATTTGAGAATTACTGTGTTAGGTATCAGCAAAGATAGGTGCTTCTACAACATTTATATTACATCCAACAGATTTTAAATTGTTCTAATTATTATTAAAAAAAAAAACTTCTGTGTACTTGCTCCTTATTTTCTTATCCCTCCCCTCCCCACCCTCTTTCTGTCTTCTTTCTTTTCTAGGGATTGAACCCCTGGGTGCTTAACTGAACTACAATCTATAATCCTTTTTATTTTGAGGCAGGGTTTCAACAAGTTGCTGGGGGTCTCACTAAATTGCCTAGGCTGGCCTTGAACTTATGATCTTCCTGTCAGCCTCCTGAGACACATTGCTTAGTTCTGTACATAACTTGTTTGTACTGGCACTGTTTTGAGTAGTATTATAGAAGACAGTAGAATAATGAAGTAAATAGAAGAATGGGTAAAACAGAAAAATGGTAAATAAAAGTAAAAAATGTACAAATGAAAATAAACTTCGAAAAGACATAAATTAGCTAACAAAATAGAGATTCAGTGTAATTCAAAAAGACAAATTGAGATAAGTAGGAAAATACTGTGCTGTTAATCTTTTAGCAAAAGATAAAGTCAATTTAAAGGGTTACAAAATAATTTAAAATTTTAAGTGATTATGTTATACTAGGAAAAAATTTACTTTTTATCTTCTACGATGAGCACATTCTTACTTTTAATGTCATGCAATATGATTAATTAGACTTTCCCTGAACTTCAGTTTCACAGCTAATGCCTGTATATGGAATCACAGATGTCTTATAATAATTCCTGATCAGAGGGCTGACATTTGAAGAAAGATTTAACATTTTTAATAGGACAACTATACATGTTTAAAAGTTCTGTATCTGGATATAGATAGATTTAACCTTTTTAAAATATATCTGTACATGGTTAAAAGTTCAATACATAGGCGAGGTGTGTGGTAGCACATGCCTGTAATCCCAGCAGCTCAGGAGACTGAGACAGGAGGAACCCAAGTTCAAAGCCATTCTCAGCAATTTAGTAAGGCCCTAAGCAACTTAGTGTGACCCTGTCTTAGAATAAAAAGAGTAAAAACGGGCTGGGGATATATGGCTAAGTGCCCCTGGAATCAATTCCTGGTATTAAAAAAAAAAAAATCAATACCTAGAAATAGAATACAGAGTTCTTTAACCAGAGGAAACTGCAGAATTAGCATTGAATTGATATGTGTGTGATATGTAAAGTTTTCCTGGCAAATTTAGAGCTCATTGATTATTTTTATTTTGAACAGAAAAAACCCTATTATATCCCATGTGTATTTTTTTGCAAAGTAAAACAAAACTGCTCTCTCTTCAGACATGATATTACATGTGTTAATTGTGCATTTTTTCCTTTATAGGCCCAGATTATTATTCATCAGCATGGTTACCTGGTAATGAATCATTGTGGCAGGCCACAACTGTTCCATCTAACCATCGAAATAACCATATCAGGAGACACAGTATAGCTTCTGACAGTGGAGACACTGGCATTGGAACTTCCTGTTCTGACAGTGTGGAAGGTAAGCTAAAATTATTAGTATTTAGATATGAATTTGTGGAGATTGGTTGTGAATTGAGACTATTCAAGGGATATATTTTATTGTTCCAAACTAAAATAATAGTGTGTGTTTAATAATACTCATTGTTGCTGTATATCAAGTTAAATTGTTTGTCTTGTCATATTGCACGTTTTTCTTCCTTTTCTTAACATTTTATTCTTATATAATTGTAGGATTACATGAGTTTTAAGAAATAATATTTTAAGAAATAATATAGAGATTTCATGTATCCATTCTCCATTTTTCACCAGGGAATATCTTACAAGATGTTATAGTATCACAACCAGGATAATGACACGGATACAATCAAGATATAGAATGTTTCCATAAACCAAATGTTGCCTACAATCACTTCTCTCTCTACCTCCTCCATTCTCATTTAACTCTTGGAAAGCAATAACCAATTTTCCATTTATAATTTTGTAATTTCAAGAAGGCTGTTTGTAATTGGAATCATACACATAGCAATAACCTTTTGGAATTGGCCGTTTTCTCTGGAGATTTATCTAGGTTGTTGTGTGTATCAATAGTTCATTCCTTTTTAATGATGAGTAATATTTACCAATGGTGGGGGTGGTATTAGAGAGACCACACTTTAATTTATTAACCCATTGAAAAACATCTGAGTTGTTTCCAGTTTTGGACTGTTATGAAAAAAGCTGTAAACATGTACATGGAGGTTTTGTTATGAAACATGTCTTTTCTCTGTGGTTAATGTTCAGAAGTACAGTTATTGGTCTCTGTAGTAGTGGTAGGTTTAGTTTCAAAATTTCCAATCACATTGTTTTCACTATCATTTTCATCAATAATGTATATATATCAATGATCCAGTTTTCTCTATATCCTTTCTAGAATTTGACGTTTTTCAAATTTTAGCCATTCTGGTAGGAATATAGTAATATATCATTGTGGTAGTGAGATATCATTTTTTAAAAAGTAGACTTATTTTTAGAGCAGTAGAAAAATTTATTGAAGGTAYAGATTTTCTCTATGTACTCCCATCTTCACACAGGTACAGCCTCCCCAAATATCAGCATCTCCCACCAGAGTGGTACATTTATTAAATTGATGAACTTACATTGATATCTGAAGAATCTGTAGTTTAGTTAACAGTTTACTCTTGGTGTATGTTCTCTGAGTTTGGACAAATTTATAAAATCATGTGTCCACTATTGTATGTAATACAGAATAGTTTCACTGCCTTAAGCATTTTCTGTACTCTGCCTTCATCTTTTGTCCCCTGCCTAACCCTAGTAGTCACAGTTTTTTTTGTTGTTGTTGTTTGTCTCTATAGTTTTTCTTTCTCCAGAATGTCACATAGTTGAAATTGTAAAATATAGCTTTTTCAGATTGCTTCATTCATTTAGTAATATGCTTTTGGCACTTATGAATAAAGCTGCTATAAATACTCATATACATATTTTTGTGTAAATATCAGTTTTCAGCTTCTTTTGGGTCAATACCAAGGAGCAGGATTGCTGTATCAGTAGGAGTATGTTTAATTCTGTAAGAAACTGCCAAACTATCTTTCAAAGTGGCTGTGTTATTTTGCATTTCCACTAGCAATAAATGAGATTCTGTTGCTTCACATCCTACCCAGTGTTTGGTGTTTTAATTTTCTGGATTTTTTCCTTTCTCATAGTTGTACAGTAGAATTTTATTATTTTAATTTGAATTTTACTGGTACATTATGTGGAACACTTTATCTGCTTATTTGTCTCTATATCTGTTAAGGTGAGGCATCTTTTAAGGACTTTAGCCCATTTTTAAATTGTATTTTTTGTTTTCTTACTAAGTTAAAGGTTCTTTTTCTATTTTGGTTAACAGTCCTTCATCAAATGTATCTTTTGCAAACATTTTCTCCTAGTCTGTGGCTTGTCTTCTCATATTCTTGCCATTGTCCATTGTCTTTTGTCCAGAAGAAGGTTTTAATTTTAATGAAATTCAGCTTATTAATTATTTCTTTTGTGGAACATGTCTCAAGGATGTGATCTAAAATGTAATTTTTATAGACAAAGTCAATTAAATTTTTACTGTGAGTTTTCTAGTTTTGTGTTGTTTTGTGTCTGTGAGTTTTTTTTTTTTTTGGGTGGGGGTAAAGGGTGTAGTTGTGCCATACTTCTTGGGTATTCTGTTACATTTTTAACAGTTTTTTTCTCTGTTTTTAATTTTAGAAGTTTCTGCCCACATATTGTCAAGCTCAGAGATTCTTTGCTTAGCTGGTCCTATTCTACTACTGAGCCCATCAAAGGCATCTTCATTTGTATTAGAATCTTTATGATACCTAACATTTCTTTTTGATTCTTTCTTTATTCTTGCATGCTATTTACTTTGCCCATTAGAGTGCTTTGCATATTAAACATAGTTGTTTTAAACTACTGGGTCAATATCCTTGCCATATCTGGGTCTAGTTTGTTTCTTCAAACTATATGTTTTGCCTTGTAGTATGTCTTATTATTTATTTATCTTTTTTATTTGTATTTTTGCAAGGTATCATAACATGCTGAGTAATATGAACTATGGTAAATGATTCTTTGRCAATGTAATGGTAGTAAGGTATGAAGAGAGAAATGTTTTATAGTTTTATGATTAGGTCTCGGAGTTTTGATAAGTCTGTGCCCTAGGCTGTGATCTTTGTAAGTGCTTCTCAGGATTTATTTTTTAAAAGTTTTTAATTTTGCAAATTTTCATCATTTTGAGTGGGAATAGCAGATCCTCATAAGAATGAAACTCTCTGCTGTATTTCAAAATGGTTCCTTTCTCCATCCCCTGTTGGAAGCATGAAGGGATTTTTCTCTGATATTCACTGTGAGAACCAGATCAAACCCCAGATAGTAAAATCTCACAAGTGTGGTGGTCTTCCTATGATAGGGTTACGTTGAAATTTTTATTTCTCAGAGTGGTCCACACTGAACTCCAGCAATTTGTCAGTTACAATTTAGGTTTTATATTCAGGTCCTGGTTTCCATGTAGGCTTCATCGTGAGTGTTTTTTCCTGCAATAAGTTGTGATTCTGTGCTTACCTGTTGTTTTTATATGGGAGCATTTTGCCTTGTGACCTCAATTCTTTTTGAGATCTAAAAAGACTTGTCCCTTTATAGTTTGTTCAGCTTTTTGCTTGTTTAGGGTGGAATAGTGCCTTCCATCCAAGGTGCTTAAATGCCAGCCTGAATTTTTTTTGAGGCATTTTTAATTTTAAATGCTAATCACTTGTTGGGTGTGTTATTTGTGATTTTTTTCTTCCTTTGCATAATTTGTCTTTTATCTTCTTAACAGTATCTTTTTCAGAGTACAGGTTTTAAAATTTGAAGTCCAGTTTACCAATTTTTTTCTTCTTAAGGGATTATGTTTTTTAATGTCAAATTTAAGAACTCTTTCCTTAATCCTAGTTCTTTGAAGTTGAAGGTTTTCTCATTTTTTCTTAAGTTGATGGTTTTCTCATTTTTTCTTAAGTGTGTTTGATCATATAATGTTTTGTATTTAAGTCCATGATTCATTTTAAGTGTGTGTTTAAGAATCTGTAAGTCCTCTTTACACTCAATTAATTTGCTAAAAGAAAYCAAAACAGAAAAATTGTTACACTTGTGGTTCTAAGTAGCTTCTCATTGTGAAGTTATGTGGACAGTGTTTAATTCTTCCAGCAATGATGTGGATGACACATGTGGAGTATTGCTGACCAGATAGATTCACTCAGTCTTTGTGTCCAGGGTTTTGTTTGTTTGTTTGGTAGGTTGATTATATGGGGCATGGTTGACTATTTGCATCCATGACCTTGGTCACCAGCTCTAAAATTAAACAGTCATGCTAAGGTCAGTTGCTTTTAGGAACCTTCCATAAATCCCATTATTAGCATAAACTGTATGGAGTGACCTAAGACCTCCGGGTACATAAAGACATACTTACTAGGCAGAATATTCCAAGAGTTTAGAGATTACCTTTTAAGAGCTGGACAAGGGCCAAAACTTTGTTGGAATGTACAGTGTATGGAATTTATAGTGTATGTACAGTGTACGTTGGAATGTACAGTGTATATTAAACTTTACAGTGTGAGACATGAAGTTCAGGTTTTTGCATAATCTTTTTTTTTTTTTTTTTGGTACCAGAGATTGAACCTAAGTGTTAAACCACTGAGTCATATCACCAGCCTATTTACATTTTTTATTTGGAGATAGGGTCTTGCTGAGTTGCTTAGGGCCTCACTTACATTGCTGAGGCTGGTTTTGAGTTTGTGATCCTCCTGCCTCAGCCTTGTCAGCAGCTGGGATTATAGGCATGTGCTACCATGCCCAACTACATAATTAATCTTTGTGTAGAATGATTACTGTCACTTCATTCTTTTTCAAAATTGTTTTTATTCCTTCTGGTYATTTTGTTTTTCTACTTAAGCTTTGGATTAATGAACAAAATAGGATACAGAAATATTTTTGAGAGCTTAATAGAAATTTTGTCTGCATATTGGTTTGAGGAAAATTGACATCTTTTGAGTTTTTTTTTGCCTRTGAACATTGGATGTTCCTCCATTTCATTTAGATCTTTGATTGTGTTCACTGTGTTAAATAATTTTGATGTCCTTTCACTGAAATATTTTGTTTTTTAAGAGTGATTGTAGATGGCATTGTACATCCAATTTTATTGTCAGTGTTATAGAACATAGAGAAGTACATTTAGAAATATCTTTACAATGYAGAAATACATCTGATTTTTTAACATTTATGTGTATCCTGTCACCATTAGCTCATCTTTTTGTAGATTATTTGAGATTTTCTTTTGAGATGAGGTCCTGTTGTGTTGTCCAGGCTGGCCTTAAGCTCCAGGACTCAAACAGTTCTCCTGCCTTAACCTCCCAAGTAGCTGGGACTCAGGCATGCACCACTGCGCCTAASTTGATATATATACTTACATCACCTTTAAATAAGGATGATTATCCTTTGAGTTGTGTGACTTTTATTTCCTTTTCTTGA